ATGTGAGTTGTGGAAACTTACAGAACTAGCACGGGACTTCTGATTTGAAAACTAAGTCAAAAAATGCACATTTTCACACTAAAGCTTGAAAATAGGCCATCGGAGGCCAAAATTGTGCAATAGCCATGAGACAGCTCAGGCAACACCTCAAACACCTCGGGAGGGACCAATGTGAGTTGTGAAAACTTACGGAATTAGTAGGGCACTCCTGGTTTGAAAACTAAGTCCAAAAATGCACTTTTTCACACTTATGCTTGAACAATAGGCCATCGGAGGTCAAAATCGAGTAACAACCACAAGACAGCCTGGGTAAAACCTCAAACACCTCGAGGGGGACCAATGTGAGTTGTGGAAACTTACAGAACTAGCACGGGACTCCCGGTCTGAAAACTAAGTCCAAAAATGCACTTTTTCACACTTAAGCTTCAAAAATAGGCCATATGAGGCCAAACTTGTGCAACAGCCAAGAGACGGCCTAGGTAACACCTTAAACACCTCGGGAGGGACCAATGTGAGTTGTGAAAACTTACGGAACTAGTACGGGACTCCCGGTTTGAAAACTAAGTCCAAAATTGTACTTTTTCACACTTAAGCTTCAAAATAGGCCACCGGAGGCCAAAATCGTGCAACAGCCACGAGACGGCCAGGGAAACACGTCAAACATCTCGGGAGGGACCAATGTGAGTTGTAAAAACTTACGGAACTAGCACGGGACTCCCAGTTTGAAAACTACGTCCAAAAATGTACTTTTTCACACTTAAGCTTCAAAATAGGCCATCGGAGGCCAAAATCGTGCAACAGCCACAAGACGGCCTGAGAAACATGTCAAATACATCAGGAGGGACCAATGTGAGTTGTGAAAACTTACGGAACTAGCACGGGACTCCCGGTTTGAAAACTAAGTCCAAAATTGTACTTTTTCACACTTAAGCTTCAAAATAGGCCACCGAAGGCCAAAATCGTGCAACAGCCACGAGACAGCTTGGGGAACACCTCAAACACCTCGGGAGGGGCCAATGTGAGTTGTGAAAACTTTCAGAACCAGCACAGGACTCTTGGTTTGAAAACTAAGTCAAAAAGTGCACTTTTTCACAGTTAAGCTTGAAAAGTAGGCCATCGGAGATCAAAATCGTGCAACAACCATGAGACGGCTTGGGAAACATGTCAAACACCTCGGGAGGGACCAATGTGAGTTGTGGAAACTTACAAAACAAGCACAGGACTTCCGGTTTGAAAACTAAGTCGAAAAATGCACCTTTTCACACTTAAGCTTGAAAGTAGGCCATCGGAGATCAAAATCGTGCAACAACCATGAGACGGCCCGAGGAACACCTTAAACATCTCGGGAGGGACCAATGTGAGTTGTGAAAACTTACGGAACTAGCACGGGACTCCCGATTTGAAAACTAAGTCCAAAGTTGCATTTTTTCACACTTAAGCTTCAAAATAGGCCATCTTAGGCCAAAATCGTGTAACAGCCACGAGATGGCCCGAGAAACACGTGAAACACCTCGGGAGGGACTAATGTGAGTTGTGGAAACTTACGGAACAAGCACGGGACTCCTGGCTTAAAAACTAAGTCCAAAAATGCACTTTTTCATACTTAAACTTCAAAATAGGCCACCGGAGGCCAAAATAGGCCAACAGCAACGAGACGGCCCAGGGAATACTTCAAACACCTCGGGAGGGACCAATGTGAGTTGTGAAAACTTATGAAACTGACACGCGACTCCCGGTTTGAAAACTAAGTCGAAAAATGCACTTTTTCACACTTAAGCTTGAAAATAGGCCACCGGAGGCCAAAATCGTGCAACAGCCACAAGACGGCGCAAGGAACACCTCAAACACCTCGGGAGGGACCAATGTGAGTTGTGGAAACTTACGGAACTAGCATGGGACTCCCGGTTTGAAAACTAAGTCGAAAATTGAACTTTTTCATACTTAAGCTTGAAAACAGGCTATCGGAGGCCAAAATCGTGCAACAACCATGAGATGGCCCGGGGAACACATCAAACACCTCGGGAGGGACCAATGTGAGTTGTGGAAACTTACGGACCTAGCACGGGATTCCCGGTTTGAAAACTAAGTCCAAAATTGCACTTTTTCACACTAGACCTTCGGGGGCCAAAATCGTGTAACAGCCATGGGATGGCCTGGGGAACACCTCAAACACGTCGAGAGGAACCAATGTAAGTTGTGGAAACTAACGGAACTTGCACCGGACTCCCGATTTGAACACTAATTCGAAAAATGCATGTTAAATTGTATATTTTATGGATAAGATATTAATTGTCTAACTTCCATTTTTTTATTTTTTATTTTTTATTTATTATTTTTTTTGTGTTTCATTTTTGCAGATTCGAGATTTGATATGGACATGTTTGGTAATTTGGAGGGCAGATGGTAGCTTATTTTGTGTTTTTGTTCATATTACCTTACATGTATTTTGGTTGCGTTGTAAATTTTATATTTTTGTTGGTATTATAAGGCATGTTTGGTAATCCGCCATTGATATTTTATTTTTGTTGATATTAGTAGACATGTTTTTTTGTTGGATATTAGGAGATGTGTTTGGTAATCCGCATGCTGTTGATATTATATTTTTGTGGATATTAATAGACTTTTTTTGTGGATATTAGGGGATATGTTTATAATCCGCATGCAGTTCATATTGTATTTTTGTGGATAGTGCTGAAATTCAATTGTAATGTTAATGAAAATGAACAGATTTTTGTATTGATTTGTAATAGATATTTTATTGAACAGGTTATTGAAATGCGTAGGGAATTGTTACTGAAAAGAAAAAAATTCAGAAGAAAATAGTAGCCCCATTTTCAAATATTTTAATTTTTATTAGTGACGAAATAAAAAAATGTCGCTATTAGTTTTCAAAAAACATGACGAATAATTTTGTCACTAATGATATAATACGAAACAAATAATTTCGTCACATTTGCTGAATATTTCGTCGCTAAATTGAAACATTTGGTTGAATAATTTTCTTTTTTGTTCATTTTAGTGACGAATTTTTTTGTCACCTTAATCGATATCATTGGTGAGGAAAACTTTCGTCACTAAAATATATTTGGTGACGAAATATTTCATCGCCAAAAACAATTAAAATAAAATATTATTTAGTTTTGGTGACGAAATTGATGTTTTAGAGGACGAAAAATTCAACATTTGGAGATGAAACATTTTGTCGCCAAAAATGAAAAATACGCGACGAAACTGTTTTTCGTCATTAGGTATTTTCAGCGACAACATATAGGCCACGAACATGGTGACAAATTTTTTTCGTCGCAGATCACTTTAGTGAAGAAAATTTGATGTTTGGAGGTAAAATCAGTCTGTCACCAAAGGCCTTTTTTGTTATAGTGATGTCTAGAGGTGTTGAGGTGGTGTGTGTACAACAATGTGAAGGCAGCTATTATATCTACCCATTGCCATCCATTAGTTCAGAGTATTAACGAAAGGAAAGCAATGGAGGGGAATATAGAACACCTTTTGATGGATATATGTTATTTTTGTAGACAGTATGCATGACTAAACTAAGGTACTTAGACAAAGTACAGGCTACACATATGGCTACATTTGTCTGCATATCTTTTCCAGCTCTAGCTTTAATATGTTTGCAACTTTCAACTCGAATAAAAAATCTAATGGGCACTAACTGGGCATTAGTAAGCGTGCTTTGCATGCGGCCCCCCTCCCTAGTAGAATAAAGTATATGGAATAAAGTAAGGACATATAACAACTCTCAAATATTTATAAATTATAGGGTTTGGTTTGTCTTGAGTGTGCATTGAAGGGTGCGTGGAGCCAATTATGAGATCATTTTGATAAATTGAATGATTTATTTTATTAAATTTTATGTATAAATTATTTAAAAAATTAAATTGATTCAATAATTATAGATATATAATTTTATTTTGTTTGTCTTAAAAAATGGCTAGTCTATTTTTAAAATTATAGTCATTGTTCATTTTTTGAAAAATAAATATAATAAAGTAATATAGTGATGAGTATCAAAATTTTTTTTTTTTGATTGGCAAAAAAGAAACTTTATATAGAACAAATTAATCTATTTTTTTAATGATCTACACATAAAATCTAAAAAATTAAATGGTTCAATAGTCGAAACGGGTCCTATAGTAATTCCACCGAACCCAATAGCACCGTCCAGTCCATTGTTGGCTCAAGACATGCCTCCCCTAAATCATATAGAACAATGTGATAGAATTAACTACAAGAAAATACATTTTGGCGACTAAAAATGCCAACTAAATATTTATCATTCAATAATAAATGTATTCGTTTGAAATGTAATGATCAAAAGTTTTTCTGAATTTTTAATTTGTATTTTTTTATTTTTAGTGATTTTTTAAAATAAATTAATCAACTTTGCTTTAATTTTTTAGATTTACTTAATCTTGATACACTTAAAAAATAATATTTAATTTTGTTTTGAAAAAATTCATCAAATATAAAAATTACAAACAAAATATGAAAATTCAATATATTTTCGTATTTTGTTGTATTCAATGAATTTTGTAAAGACTTTTGTACAAATTATATATTTTTTAAATATATCTAGATTATGTGTATCTAAAAAAATAAAAAAATTACGTAAACTATTAAAAAGTTATTAAAATAAAAAAACATGAAAAAATGAAAAATTCAATTTTCAATAAAGTGAGTTAAACCAAATAGAAAGAAAAAACAAAAACCAAAGCCAAAAAAAAAATGTTAAAAATCAATAAAAATTTGTTTTGTTAATCGATGGCATCGATGTTCTAATTAACCACCAGTCAATCTCCTAATAGCCACTCAGTCAGTGCTCTTCCATTTTATATATAACAATGATTTAGATCACTAAAAAATACATTATTAATAGCATTAATACATTAGAAATAATAAAAAAATAAAAAAATAAATAAAAACAAGGCATAGAAAGTGAGCGAGGCCCACCATCACATCATTAGTGCTCCCTCTAGTGATGCTTTTTTAGTGCTCTCAAATATTTTTCTTTTATATATAGGAGAGTTCGAGCAGGAAACATTAAAAGTTCTAACCATGGACTCCACAAGTAACCCATCCATGAGCAAAGATCAAAAGCTACACATAGTAATGTTCCCATGGTTAGCTTTTGGTCACATGATTCCTTTCTTAGAACTCTCCAAGCTCATAGCCCAAAAGGGTCACACAGTCTCCTTTATATCCACTCCTAAAAACATCGACAGACTCCCAAAATTGCCTCCAAATCTTGCTCCTCTCATCAATTTAGTGAAGGTTCAATTGCCTAAAGTCGACAAACTCCCCGAAAACGCGGAGTCCACCATCGATCTTCCATATCACAAGGTCAAGTACCTCAAGAAGGCCTACGATCAGCTCCAACAACCCATCACTCAACTTCTACAAGATATCGCTCCCGAGTGTGTTATTTACGATTTTGTGCCTCATTGGCTTGGCCCTATTGCCTCCAAACTCGGCATTTCACGTGCCTACTTCAGTATTTTTATTGCTGCTTCATTATGCTTTTTTGGTCCTGCACCGACTTTAATGGGCTTGACTCCAGACCACCGCACAAAATCTGAGGACCTCACTGTACCACCCAAGTGGGTGCCCTTTGAATCCACCGTCGCGTTTCGACTCTTTGAGATCAACCGTGTCTTTGATGACATAACCGGGGATGATGAAAATATTCCGGCTGCCTATCGTATGGGAGCTACTTTTGAAGGCTGCAATGTATTGGCAGTGAGGAGCTCTCATGAGTTTGAACCTGAATGGTTAAAACTTCTCCAAGAGATTCACCAAAAACCAGTTATACCTGTTGGCCAGCTTCCTCCGATTCTGAATTATGGGGACTACGATGACAAAGAGGAATGGAAAGCCATGCAAGAGTGGCTTGACAAGCAGTCTAAAGGGTCAGTGGTCTATGTTGCATTCGGGAGGGAGGCAAAACCGAGTCAAGCCGAAGTCACAGAGATAGCTCTCGGGTTAGAGCTATCCAAGTTACCATTTTTTTGGGCTCTGAAGACGCGACTTGGTTTGGCTGATACTGACGTTGTTGAGTTGCCAGATGGGTTTGAGGACAGAATGAAGGGACGCGGGGTGGTGTGGACGAGCTGGGTGCCTCAACTCAAGATACTGAGTCACGACTCAGTGGGTGGGTTTTTGAGTCACTCTGGGTGGACCTCGGTGGTTGAGGCAATACAGTTCGAGAAGGCTCTTATTTTGTTGACTTTCTTGGCAGAGCAGGGGTTGAATGCTAGGCTTCTGGAGGAGAAGAAGATGGGATACGCGGTACCCAGAGACGAGCAAGACGGGTGGTTCACGAGGGACTCAGTGGCCGAGTCACTGAGATTGGTGATGGTTGAGACAGAGGGGAAGATATACGGGGAGAGAATCAAAGAAGTGAAAAGATTGTTTGTGGACAGGAATGTTCAAGACAAATATGTGAACAACTTGTTGGATTACTTTAAGTCTCACAGAGACCGAAGTGAAGATGCAAAATTGAAGGGACTAAACTAAACCATCCAATCTCTCTTCTTCTGGAAAACAAACAAGTCTTTATCATTTGTATTTATGGTCTGATGTGGTATATTGTGGTATCATTAATATAATAAGTTTGTCATTTGACGTAATATTTTCTGTTATCAATGAAGTAGTAAGTTTAACATTAATATCCGAAAGTTATGAAATATGGCACAACCAGTGTGAAATGTAAATTAAGGGCAATACAGTTCGAGAAGGCTCTTATTTTGTTGACTTTCTTGGCAGAGCAGGGGTTGAATGCTAGGCTTCTGGAGGAGAAGAAGATGGGATATTCGGTACCCAGAGACGAGCAAGACGGGTGGTTCACGAGGGACTCAGTGGCCGAGTCACTGAGATTGGTGATGGTTGAGACAGAGGGGAAGATATACAGGGAGAGAATCAAAGAAATGAAAAGATTGCTTATGGACTGGAATGTTCAAGACAAATATGTGAACAACTTGTTGGATTACTTTAAGTCTCACAGAGACCGAACTGAAGATGCAAAATTGAAGGGACTAAACTAAACCATCCAATCTCTCTTCTTCTGGAAAACAAGCAAGTCTTTATCATTTGTATTTATGGTCTGATGTGGTATATTGTGGTATCATTAATATAATAAGTTTGTCATTTGACGTAATATTTTCTGTTATCAATGAAGTAGTAAGTTTAACATTAATATCCGAAAGTTATGAAATATGGCACAACCAGTGTGAAATGTAAATTAAGCAATGATATTTTATTTTTCCTAATGTTTAGCATACTTTTTTCACTAGCATTTACTACTTTCGGCAATCACTTTAGGTGGTTGACCGATCATCATCTCCGACTGTTGACAATCACTGAGTTCACTAGTTCCGATGGCCAACAATTATTGGGATTGTAAAATAAAAGTTAAATGAAAGATAGTCAATAGAGATTTTCTTAATTGTTTAAAATTTTAAGAAAATCAAAAAAATTGTATAAGAGATTCATCATAGGATTTCTCACTAAAAATCTTATTTTACTTATATAAATGGGAGTATAAGATTCACTTTATATAAGTAAAACAATTCACCTTTTCCTTTTTTTCCTGATGTGGAATTGTAAAATAAAAGTTAAATGGAAGCTAACTAATAAAAATTTTCTTAATTGGTTAAAATTAAGAAAATTCAATAATTTTAGAATGAGGATTTGGAGTTCTTACAAAGTCTCTCTCTAAGAAAACCATTAAAATTATAATATATAAGTGAAATAACTCTTTTTTTTTTCCCGATGTGAGATTGTGTAAAATAATAGTTAACAATTGTTTGGGCGGGAAGTTTATTTCGAATCAAACAATCTCAGCCGTTTAATCTTTAATTAGGTTAATTTTTAATTTATTTCGAATCAAACAAATCTAACTAATATATTTTGATAAAACTGTTACAATCAAGGTTAAACCAGCAATTCAGTCAAACCGAAAACAGTTTACCCTATCGACTTAGTCAAAAAACCAACTTATACAAAAATTAATGAATTAAGACTTTTAAATTTTATTTTTATTTTAAAATTTAAACTGTCTTGAACTGACACATACACAACATTACAATATTAAATGGGACCATAAGGTTTATATATTGAAACAACTCATTTTTTTAATCTCTTTTTCCTGATGTGAGATTGTAAAATAAACGTTAACAGTTGTTTGGACGGAAAATTTATTTCTAATCAAGCAAGCTCAATCGTTCAATTTTTAATCAGTTCAATCTTAATTTATTTCAAATCAAACGAATCTAAGCAATATAACAGTGAATTAGTCAAACCGAAAATGATTCAGCTTAATCGGCTAAGTCAAAAGACCAACCAATTTACAACAAATTAATTAATTAAAACTTTTAAATTTCATTTTAAAATTTAAACCATCTTGAACTGAAACATGCACAATACTACAATTTTAAATTGGAGTATAAGATTCATTGTATATAAGTGAAACAATTCATTTTTTCTTTCTTTTCTTGATTTGGGATTGTAATTTTTTTTAAGCTAAATTATGAGAGTTTCAAAATGGAAAATTTACTTATAAATCCCATTTTGAGGAATGACGATCCATTTAGTCTCAAGGATTTTCTTATAGACCAATTAGTCTCATTGATTTTGAAAAGATAGATTGAATATATTATTTAGAAATTAGATTTATGGCTATACCCTTATTTCTATTATGTTTTCTTCTTTTTTTTTTTCCTTTGTGCTAGAAAGGTAACATACACAATTTATGAGAATCGAATTTGGGATGAATTTTTATATAAGAATCATTTTTATTTGGAAAGCATTTCAAAAAGAGTACAAAAATAACTTGAAATATGAAATTCTTCAAACATTTCAAAAGGAATACAAAAACCCCTTAGTAAACTTTGGTCAAATGTATAATTTCAAACTGTAACACTCCAATATAACACTTAAACGTAACATTCCAATGTAACACTAAAAAATAAAAATAAAAAATTTCTTAGTATAATTTTTCCAAACGTAACACTTCAATATAACACTCCAAAAAAATTTCTTAGTGTACTTTTCCCAAACGTAATAATCCAGTGTAATACTCCAAAAAAAGGTTATGAGATTCTTCAAACCTGTCATGACCTGCTACCCGTACCCAAGGGTTAAGCATCGTGATGGCCAGTAACCGAGGTTACCTCCGGCCAAATCTTTAAACAATTTAATAAACGCAAGCGGAAGAAATATTTAAATAAGGGTACTAAAATAATCATTGGAGCGTCTATTTTTATTACAAAATATATTGACCAAAAAGGTCGATATTTACATAAAAAAAAATACATCAATAAAAGTGCTTTGTGTCTACCCCACATGCTGGTCCTGACATGTCACCTGAAAGTGGTAAAAAAACTATAAGCTTATGGCAGAGTGAGAAATATTATACCAAGAGTATAAGGCATAAAATTCACCATGGATAATTAGTTAGGCCAAAAAGAGCTTGATACATATATAATACAGAAATCATTTGATATATACTTCAGATCATTTCACATGTAATATGAAAATCATTTACAACCATAACCACGGTACATCACTAAGTGCTAAGCACTACACTGGTCAATGGATCCACGATAAACACTGGACCACAAAGTGGTCAATCACTAAGCCAATGGTTATTTAAGTCCCCCAAGGCATGGGACTCACTAAGTCAATGGTTATTTAAATCCTCCAAGGCATGAGACTCCCGTGGTGGTACTTACAAAATATATTTCCATATAAGGTCATAGCCAAATATTCTTTAAAAGTAAACAAACATATCCATGAGTTTCCTTTTAAGCAAATAAAGTTCAGAAATAAAACTACGTAACTGAAACCTTTATAAAACATAACTTTTATAAATATATTAATAAAACATAACTTGTATAAAATAGATTTTGGTAAGTCAAAACATAAGTAAAATACTTTTTGGTGACTCAAGGTATAATATAACTCACCTTAACTTTAATACCTTACTCTTTCTTTTCACCATCAAAGACCCTTTTAGCTTCCACTATTCTTTTCTTCCTTTCCTCTCTTTTCTTTCTACTTTCTTTTCTTCTCTTTTCTTTTCTCTTGAGTCAACTTCTCCCCCTCATATACAGAGGCAGCCGTGGGCACCAAGCCACGGGCTACCACGTGTCACACCCCATTCGATTATCATTAATTCGTTCTTATCTTTAATAGATATTTAAGATAATTATTCTTTTACCTAATATTTTAATATAATTATATAAATTAATTAATTCGTGTCGCTCCCCTGTTAATCTTCATTAATTCAAGTCTATCTAAATTAAGTCAAGCTTATCAAAACTTACTTATTAATACTTTGACTAATAAATTATATTATTTTACAAAATAATAACTATATAATAAATTATATATTTTTCAAACTGAGATTAAATAATATTAATATAAATTCTACAGAATAATTAAAAATTTGGGTTGTTACAATCTTCCCTCCTTTTAAAATTTCGTCCTCGAAATTTGTTATATGTACAAACTATCCGCTGCGCACTCTGATAAATATGTATTAGATGATTAATCTGATAGAAATAGTATCTCAAAAAAAAAAACTATACCAAAAATCACTCACTGTTTACTTGTCAAAATTAGTTTGGGCCAAAATGAGAAATAATGGGTAACTTTAAAAAAAATTTCACTTGTATTGTTTACGATAAAAATAAATAAATGGAAATAAAATGAGACCACAATGACAGAATCATATGTGAGTTGAAAAAAAATTGAGATGAACTTTTCATTGATTGGAAATAATTTCAAAATTAGTATTTTTAAAATTTGAACCCACTTTTAAAAAGTCAAAAAAAAATTTTAATACTAAATTAGAATTTATGTATGTTTAATTATATTATAATTTTTTTTGTGGGTGTTTGACATCTTTTGTTTCTTTTTCATTCTTAAATTATATCTAATATCCTTCACAAATTATGTACCAAATTTTTTTTTTACTATATATATATATAAAATCATAGACAATTATAATATAATTAAATCGACGAATTAAATATAATATTTAGGTACTAATTACCCGCTATCTCACTTCTTAAATGTGCATGTGTCCTATGCTCCAATGATTTTTTATTTTATTTTATAAACCATTGCTCTGATACTATTTGGCACGACCCGCTCTCCGTACCCAAGGGTTAAGTATTGTGATGGCCAGTAACTGAAATTACCTACGGCCAATTCATAAACAAATTAATAAACGCAAACGGAAGAAATATTTGAGTAAGGATACCAAAATAATCATTGGAGCTTCTATTTTTATTACAAAATATATTGACCAAAAAGGCCGATATTTACATATAAAAATACTATAAAAGTGCTATGTGTGTCTATTCTGCAGCCCTGCGTCTAAGACTTTTCCAAAGCTATTTCTGAATTGCATTGTTTCTTGAAAATTGGTAAACAGCTATAAGTACATGGCAGAGTGATAAATATTATACTAAGAGCGTAAGGGCATAAAATTCACCATGGACAATTATTGGCTAAACAAAGTTTGATATTAAAATACAGAAATCATTTGACATATGATACAGAAATCACATAAACAAAATAATCATAACCACGGCACAGAACGAAACGGAACAGATGTATAGACTCAAGAGGTGGCTTGAACGAACTTTAGAGGTGGCTCCCACCATAGTGTAGCACTTAGCTCCGTACAGCACTTTGCTCCACATCAGAAATCATAACCGCTGAAAAATCTAGAAATCCCCTAGATGTTGATTTGTGATTATGTATCAATTTTAAGCAGTATATAACAATCCCAATCAAACAATCAAGACAAATCGACAAAAAGACACAACG